CAGGCTCTAATCCTAATGAGGAGTGTAAGTATCTTACACGTAAACTGTTCAAGTCTTCGAAATAATCGTTAGCTGTAGTGGGTGGCGAAAGTGAAGTAGACGGAGGAAGCATGAACATCAAGTAGTACTTGTCAACTGTTTTAGGCTTATTAAGGATACAGGAGAGAATAAAATAATAGTTAGTGAGACTATCACCGAGAAGGCTGGAACAGCAATAACCTCTCAGGACAGACGGCTAGAATTTTAAGTAGAATACTTTGAAGGAAATTTCAACTAGTCAACAGCAATTTTTGTTGTCCAGTATCCAGTCTGAACCCAAATAAGTTGTAGATGTCAGTCTTCTAATTGTCGTCGAAGTTAAAAATGCTGCTCGAAACCGGAAACTATGCAATGCAGCAGAACGTTACAGTTTTCTATCAGCCGATTATACGGATGAAGGTAAGAAACTTCTGAAAAGAGATTAGCGGAGATATCGGGTAGCGTATAAGGATCAGAGGTAGTGACATCAGACTGGCCTACTCAACTAATCACTCCACTCTACAGGAAGGAAAAGAAGTTTTCTTGTGATAATAGTGGGGAAATCAGTTTGACTTATATAGTGTCCAAGATCCTTGGTTCCATATTTATGCGACACCTAACTGGAGCTCGAAAACAACAAACTAGGGAAAACCAGCCAGTTTTCAGACCTGAATAAGAATGCATCGATCATATTTTCACCCTCTAACAGCTTTGAGAACGCAGGCATACTTATGGCTGCCGACGCTCATTATATTTCCCACCAGAAGACGGCATCTGACTCTATCCGTAATGAGATGTCACAGTTTATGACTATGAAGGGAGAACAAAACAAGTATTTAACGCTAGTCAAAGCTCTTTATAGGAACTGAGGAATATGTCTGAAGGTTTATGGAGAGCTGCAATCGTAACTGACAACAACTAATGATGTCTTTTTCGATTTCGTTACAGACGCACCAATATACCCAACCTTAGATATATCTGACTTCACAGAAATTGACCTAACCCGTGGAACGTGTCTCCCTGACCTGGAGTAACCAGATGATATTGCTATGGAATATGGGGATGGTGACAAAATGACGGGTCCTCTGAACTCGTTCAGCAAAAATTTGAGTACATTTGATTTACACTTCAGAGCTGTCCAATGTAAGATAATGCTTCAGGGCTGGTTTACAACTATTTCAGGTCTAAGGATTGGAGTTGATGTAGCAGAAAGTTTAGTTTGCTTCACTCACTTGGGGAGTTGCATTAAAATGAACAGGCTGGATGATGACGAAATTTTTGCCCCGATGTAGAAGGCATTTGCTTGCTAACGTCATTTCTGACACCGTCAAGCAATTCGACTATCTGCTAAAGGACTAGAATACTGCGCTGTAATTTATTATCGACTGTTATACGGCTGTGAGAAACTGCCGCTGAAAATGAAAGACAAGAAGAGATTACAGGTCTTCGACAGCATTGTTTGCATATGAGAACAATGCAGGAGTTGGGAAAAATCTGCTAGGTAAGGAAGGAATGCTGATCGATGAAGCTGTGAACCTGAGCTAGCTTGGATAAGTGTTACGCCTGCTGAGTTACCGCCTACCTCGATGTGAGGTGCTTAGAGAAGTTGAGGCTCAGTATGAACAGACTAAGAGGTGGTGTCAGTGCATGAAGTCTCTGCCTCCTGGTCTTAGCTGTTTAGAGAGGTATACACTACTTGGTTCAGATCCTTGAGATGACAGAAATCAGTGGTTGAAGAAACTTGTTGACACTGGCTAGAAATTAGTCACAGTGAATTATATCCACTCACTCTTTAGTATCTCTCAACTAGCCTTCAGTTTCCAGTTTGCTATCCTTCCATACAATTTTATCCATTTTTACATCACCTATTCTCCACCCATTTGTTCTTTTACACGCCACTGTGAACCGATGTACTTTTGTTCAAGGCTCCATAATGTTTTTGTCTGTACATCAGTAAAGTATTTTGACTTATTTATCTCACAGTCTACAGATGAGAAAAGCCTATTTTATTTGTTTTAGATAACAAGCCCTTAGTCTTTGTTTATCATTCCTTCAAAACGTTATTTTTTGGTTTATCTTTAATAGGCATGCCTTATCAAGCTTTAGAAATAACCGAAGAGTAAGCTAACATTGTCTAATCATTTTTGTCTCTAATAATTGCTCAGTACTTTCTCAGTTTTAACGTTTCTTCTTGGCTGTTTCATCAACAGCCTAGGTGGCTTTATCAGTATTGACTTTGTACACGAACCTGAGCTACAAATCTTTTCCACTATGTTTGTTCATAAGCGTGAAACAAGAAAGCATAAAGTTTACGTATTTTGTTATAATTTTAAATAACTTTACCATCTTATTTGTCATAAATGGTTTCAGAAAGCCATAGGAAAGCTGTTACTTTCCTAGTAGTTGCATTTTTTCATAAGATTATAGTTACGATAATTTCGTTAGAATGACTATAAGACAGAATATTACACAGCTAATCTATTGAACGTTTATCTCATCATTAGAAGCACTTATGCAGGATTTTCCGGATTTAATCAACAGACATTTTGTCTATAACACTTTAATTCTCCCATAAACACATTTACTCTGGAAGATAGATTCGATCGAAGAAGGGCGACCTAAGTCTTTGCAAGAACTGGCACGGAATGATGCTGCTGTCCACCCCAAGCAAAATATTAAGCCGGATTTTCAACACCAATATCAGTCAAGTCAGTGCTGCTATATAGCTCAGAAACTGCTGTTGCCTAAGTTGACTCGTTAGTGAAGATCAGATGGTCAGGATAATAAGAATAAGCAACAAGTAACTCTGGCTGGCTGGCAACGAACCTATCACCTAACAAATATGCAGAAGAAAGTGAAGACGGATTGGATTGTGCATACACTGAGAAGACCATTCGGGGACATTACATGCTGGGCTACGCTCCTGAGTGGAGCTCAGATGGGAAACGACTAGTTTGGTGTCTGCGGTGACAGTGACATGGAGGAGATCTTGTGAGGGAGAAATGGGAGCTTCTGGGAAGTCATGGAGCGAGGCTGAAAAGATTGCAGAGAACAGAGTGCACTGGAAACGTGCTACTGAAGTCGTATGTTCCACTAGGAACCCAAGGGACAAATAAGATATAATAATATAATCGATCGTAGTTAATCCTTCCTGGTGTCGAAAGATCAGATTTCCAGCCATAACTTTCATAGTCAACACATTCGAGATGTATAGCGATGCTTACTGGTGGCGCTGAAGTTTAGTAACACTAAATTGAAAAAGGACAGAAATGAGAGTACCTAAACAACTGATTCCCAACATACTGGTTGAACAGTATTATCTCTGTCTGGACGCCTGATAGTTCCGAGATCACTCCGTAGCTGGGTTGTTCATGTGTACTGCTGAAAAGTTCCTAACGAAGATGTAACGGTTGCAAGGTCCTATATAGTACTCACTGACTGAGTGAATCTTATTGGTTAGGCATAAAAATTACTTCGATGTGTATAGAGTTTCAATTGTGAAGCCGGTCAATGTTTCACCATCAGATTAACTTCGCTTTTCTAAGAATCTGCCAGTTTTTTTTCTCCTAAGCAGTGATTTTTCAGCTGTTGGTAACTCATGCAATCACTTTGAAAATGAGTTAAATCAAATGGCATTCAGATAAGTAAGAGCATGCATGGATTTGTGTAGAAGCGATCAGTACAATATGGATGGTAACTGCCTCATATGCACTCAGCGATTGAATTCATCTTAGTAACCATACTATATATGATCAATTTATAAGTCAGACCATGAATGTTGGGAGTTTTGCAGACTGTTTACTTGTTGATAAAGCTACAAGATATCTTCGTTATATCGGTAAATGAATAGATATTTTCTCATAATTGTGAACTAGAGATTCTATGATAATATACTTCAAGCAATGTATAAATGTTCCAAACTGTTTCATGGAATAGCACTATGAGTAAGCTCTGTTGTCTACCTATAAATTATAATAAAACTGAATTTCGAGGGAGTTGTGGGGATTTGGAAATATTTCAAGTTATTATTCATCGTAGACTGACATGAGTTGGAGGAAGAAAGAAAACCTGGGAGCACTGGACAGCTGTTTCATCTTACTACGGGATTCCTCAGCAGTGCGCACCCACGACCACGCACCACCACGGATCGAACCCGCCACCTTCAGGTTCTGTGGCCAGCACGTTACCATTGAGCTAGCCACTGGGTCAGAATCCAATTGTCCATATCTCCAACTTCTATTAGCTCACGACATAGCGCAACCGTCACCGAATGTCATCGTTGAGTAACTATCCTCACTGCTGAAAAGTCCCACACTAGAAAGAAACAGCTGTCCAGTTCTCCCAGGTTTCATTTGTTCCTGTAACTGATGTCAGTCTACGATGAATAGTAATTTGGAATACAATAAAACTGTCAGTAGTTGAGGAGTGTTTGTGACATAGCTTGAGATGGGCTACAATGGTCCAGACGTATTTACTCTTTGACATCTAGGCCTTGAATATTTGCACTAACGGTTATCTTTAGACTGTTTACTCTCTCATTTCCCTTTATCTATCTTGACATCGCTTTTTCTATCCATCTGCTCTCCGTATACTACTGTGATGCACTTATATCCAAGGTTCTATGTTGGTTCTGTTTGTTTATCAATTAGTAGTCTGTGTTCCTCATTTATTATTATTTTTCCCTTGGTTACCTAATGGAACATACGACTTCAGTAGCATGTTTCCAGTGCAGTATCTTCTCTGCAAACATTTGAACCTGCCTCCACGATAACTCACAAGCTCTTATTTCTTCCTCACACACCATCTCTTGTATATCACCCTCACCGCAGATACCCAACTAGTCGTTTCCCATCTAGGTTCTACTCAACAGCCTGGCTTAGTGCGTGATATACCCAGTCAGCCTTCTCAGTATATGCTCAATTCATCTCTACAATATGTTCCTCATATTTTGAAGATATTAACTAATATTGAATTCAACTTACAATTATACGGAATGGTATAGACTGTTCACCATATTTACTCTTCATTCTTGTTTGAAAAGGTATTAAATCAAAATCTTTCAATGATAGACTAAATATTCCAAATGGTTTATCATTTATTGGAGTAAATGAAATATTTTCTATAGATTCCATTTTCTTTTTCGATACCATTTAAATTTCTTCAATTTTTTTGGCCATTTCATATTATTTAATGTTGAATAAGTTTCATTGATAGGATGATTTGGCCATAAATGTTGTGTATAAATTAATAATTCTTTTTGAAAAGTTAATCCTAACACGTCTAAATCATCTCTACCATAACGATATGAACAAGTTAGTATAAGAAAGATATGATCTGTACTGTTCACATCTTTTGATAAAGTGAGGACTCCATCTAGAAAGAGAAAAACAAAAAATATATTGAATTTCGAAGAGGGTTATGGAGATTTGGAAATATTTCAACTTGTTATGCATTGTAGACTGATATCAGTTGGAGGAACAAAGGAAACCTGGGAGAACTGGACAGTTGCTTCGTCCTGGTGTGGAACTCCTCAGCAGTGCGCAACCAAGACCCCATACTACCACGGATAGAACCTACGACTTTCAGGTTCCATGGTGGGGTCTTGGATGCTTACTGTTGAGGAGTCCCATACTAGTCAGACGAAACAGCTGTCTAGTTCTCCTAGGTTTCATTTGTTCCTCCAACTGATGCAAGTCTACGATGAATAAAAACTTGAGATAAAATATTATTTTAAGAAGAAATTAAAGAGATAGACTATCAGTCTAATGGGATAAACTAGTTTATGAAACTTGATAGTATCATAAATTCTGTTAGGATTTCGATAATACTATTCAATTTGAAAGAGCTCCTTTTATTATTTACTGATAAGGTTCATTTCACTTTTGAAGGTGAACACTGTCGGTAAATTGATGGTGTAGCCATAGGGAGTCCATTAGGACCGTTATTAGCTGACGTATATATGTGACATACTGAACTAACCTCGCCTGGTTAACTAGTTCACTAGTACTAACCGGTCATAAGCCCCGGTAAAGAAGGAAGGTTGGGCATAGGGCTAGCAACCTTAACCCGTAAAACAAATCTAACCGCTAAACAAACTTCAAAGCACAAGCAAAATATAAAAAATAATAACAAACTTATTCCTCGCTGGAATCGGAGAGGCGAAATGACGCCAGTTGGTGAAAGCCTTCGGGAAGCCAATTGGCCGATATGTCTCCTCTTGATGAAAGCGAAAGTAAACGTGGGGACATGGAATGTCCACACAAAGTTTTAACCTAGCAAGGCAGCTTAGATTGCAAAAGAGATGATAAGGTATGGCAGAGAAGTGCTTGGAATTTGCTAAAGTAGATGGAATGGAAGCGGACTCTCCAAACTGTCAACTGGAAAGAAGTCAATAATCTACTCCGATATTGCCACCAGATGACAACCACGAGCAAACTGAATTCTGAAGTGGCTATCATGATGTCCTCAAGAGCATCGAAGGCTCTCATGCAGTGGGAACCAATCTCCTCCTGCAGGATCATGACAGCAAGATTCAACTCAAAAGGAAGGAAGGTCACAATCATACAATGCTGAGCTATGCACCTACAAATAATGCAGAGCAAGAGAAAAAGGAAGAATTCTATAGACAACTTCAATCAACACTGGACAAGACACCACTCAACTTGGCGATATCAAAATTGTGATGGGAGACATGAATGCCAAACTGGGAGGGGACAACACAGGAAGAGAACTAACCATGGGTCGAGAAGCGCTCAGTGAGGTGATGAACGAGAATGGAGAATTGTTTGCAGAATTCTGTGCATTCAATGATTAGGTGATTGGAGGCAGTGTGTTCAAGCACAAGGATATCCACAAAGCGAGTGACATGGATTTCACCAGATGGACACACTAAAAATCAGATCAACTTTATCTCAATCTCGAAAAAATAGAGACGCAGTCTACTTGACACAAGGTAAAGAAGAGGAGCAGATGTAGGTTCACACCACTCACCATCTATTGCAAATAACCTATCTTTAAAATCAAGTTGAAAGCCTTCAAACAAGCTGGTGATAGGCCACAGTTCAAATTCAACACTCAGAACAGAAACTGAGGGACGAAACTACAAAGGAAATCCTAACGTCAGTCATCAAGACAAAATGGGAGATATTGAGCAACATCCCTAAAGAAACCTGTGTGGATGAGCACTGGAACTCTTTGAAAGCTATGTGGAAAGAAACTTGCATAACCGTATTAGGAAAGAAGAAGAAAGAAGATAAGGGGTGAATCTCGACGGACACATGTGAGCTGATAGAGCAAGGAGAGGAGGATGGTGAAACAGAAGACAAACCAGTGCAAGCATGAACGACGAGAAGAGGAGCTGAGTACAATGTATAAAACACTGGACAAAGAAGTGAAGAAGAGTGCACGAAAAGACAAAAGACACTTTCACAACACACTAGCAAGTAAAGCAGAACAGGCTGCAGGTAACAGGAGAGACCTGAGAACATTGTATCAGATAACCAGGTTACTATCTGGCAGGGAACAGATCAACACAGATGAAACCAATAAACGATGATGAAGAAAATTTAATTACCAAAGAAGAGAAACAAAGGAAGCGATGGGCTGACCACTTTAAAAAGCTCTTGAATCGATCACCACTTGCACTTCGTCCGGAAATACCACCAGCAGCCTAGACACGGAACTACAAGTGAACACAAGCCCTCCAACGAAAGTCGAAGTCCTGAACGCCAAGTGCGGGAAAGCAGCACGGATGGAATCCCACCAGGAGCACTGAGAACAGACACAGAGACAACAGCGGACATGCTCACATCACTATTGTAGAAGGTCTGGAAGGAAGGAAAGGTACCTACCTATTGACTGGAAGAAGGGCTACCTTGTCAAACTCCCGAAGAAGGGAGACCTCAGTGTTTGCAAGAACTGGCGCGGAATCACCCTCCTATCCACCCCAAGCAAAATATTAGGCCACATCATTCTGGAGAGACATAAGGATGCACTGCATTCAAAATTACGACCGGAACAGGCCGGCTGGATTCAGGAAGTATAAATCAGGTGCGGACAAAATCGCAACGCTACACTACGCATCATCATAGAACAGAGTATAGAATAGCAGTCAATTCTATCACCCTACCTCAACTTCATCGACTCTGAAAAGGCATTCCACAGCGTTGACCGACAAGTAATTTGGTAGTTGCTTCAACACTATGGAGTACTACAAACCTTTATCAACCTCGTTCAAAAGCTACGTGTCATATGATGAGGCTACACGCCAAGTGATTCACAATGGGAAGCTCAGTGATGCATTTGAAGTGAAGACAGGAGTGAAACAAGGCTGCCGCCTACTATCACCCATGATATTCCTGATTCTGGTGGACTGGATCATGTAGCAAACAGTAAGGGGAGAGATGAGGGGATAAGCTAGACATGGGAAAAGATCCTAGAAGATTTGGATTTCACCGATGATGATTTATGTCTAGTGTCACACAAACTTGAAGACGAAAACTAACAAGTTGACAGAAGAGGAAGGGCAACAAAGGAAGACGGGACTTCGAGTGAATGTAGAGAGGACAGAGGTGTTGAAGATACCCAACCAACCCAAAACAACAACAACAACTAGCTTCAGTCACCATCAACTCGAGAAACGTAAAGGGCGTAGCCTGTTTCACCTACCCACCTACCTAAGCAAGGCAGCATCCTTTCAACTACAGACGGCACAGGCATAGACGAGGACGTCAAAGCCAGCCAGGATCGGAAAGACAGCAAGACAGGTGTTGATCAACCTGAAACCAGTGTGGAGATCTTCTTCACTGTAGTCAGCATAAATTGTGAACAAGATCTGGATTTTCAACACCAATATCAGTCGTTAGTGCTTCTATGTGATGGTTGAGAGACTTGGCGCGTTATGAAAAGTATTTCCACCAAGCTACAGATATTCAGTAACAGCTGCCTACGCCGGCCCACTCGTTAGTGAAGATCAGATGGCCAGGATAATAAGAATAAGCAAGAAGGAACTCACTGTGGCAACTAACCAACGAAGCAAGAACCTATCGCTCAACAAATATGCAGAAGGAAGTGGAGATGGATTGGATTAGGCATGCAATGAGAAGACCATTCAGGGACATCACGCACTGGGCCAGGCCCTTGAGTAGAACCCAGATGGGAAGCGACGAGTTAGGCGTCCCAGCTGGGGATGACATGCAGGAGATGGTGTGTGAGGAAGAAATAAGAGCTTGTAGGCTGCCGTGGAGCCAGGTTCAAACGTTTGCAGAGAAAAGAGTGTAATGGAGACTCGCTACTGAAGCCCTATTTTCCATTAGGAACCCAAGGGACAAATAAGAATAATAACATGAACTAACAGCTCAAGATTTATTCACCAATGTCGCATTCTATTAAATGTATGTGGATGATATCTTTGTAATCTGTGACACACAGATGAGGATGCCAAGGTTTTTTTATAAAAAGACTTAATACCGTAGATTATCATATCAGTCTGATATGTGAGGAAGAAAAACACCATCAACTTGCATTTCTTGATATACTCTTGTGCCCAGAGGGAAGAAGAATCTATGAGACGATCAATATACAGGAAGCCTAATTGGACAGGACAGTATTTGAATTTCTATAGTTTTTATCCGATGAAATATAAGAGAGGCTTAGTAAGATGCTTGTTAAATAGACACCAACGTATTTGTACATTTGATACAATGGATGATGAGAATAAATTTTTGACAGGCACTCTAATGGAAAACTGTTATCCAATACAGTTTATCAACCATTGTAAAAAACAGCTGACCTCGAAGCTTATAATTTCCTCGGTCCCGAAGAAAAACACAGAGGAAAAGAGTAGTATGATATTGAAGCAGAGATTAAAATCTGTTGTAACTAAAACATATGATGCAGCTCAGCTTATCATTGTTGAAACGATAAAACACCTGCTTCGCCACAAACCTCAATTTCGTATAAATGATTACGTCTTACCCCGTTGTGTTTATCAATTTATATGTATGTGTGGGCACATATACGTAAGGAGGAATAATCGTTCAATGCAGACTAGGATGGGTGAATACATACCCAAATGGCTTAGAAAGCAATTCAGCACACACAAACATTGATAAGTCCAGGTGACAGACATCCATCGTCATCTATAACAAAACATCTTCATTGAAATGAATCACAGGGTTAATGCGAAAACAGCCTTCAAGATATTATACAGGAATAATCAGGGGCGCATACTGAAGTTTGCCGAAGCGTTAGGCATTTGTAAAAACCTAAGCCCCCGCTGTGCGTTGTTTCACTTAATTTACCTTGGTAATCCTTGGCAATCTGATTATATTACCAAGACTAGTGTCACAACCTTTTCATATTCAACATGTATT